TCTTGAAATTTCCATGATATAATACCCTTAAAATTATCCCACATTTTCCGGATGTTCATATAATATGTATTGCCTTCCAGAAATTCTCTCGGAGCTTTGCTGAAGTTTCCGGACATTTTCTGAGATTCTTATGAAACTTATTTAACGTTTCTGCGAATTTCTTGAAATCATTTGAACTGCCCTTTGATTCTCTGACCTGTCTATTGAAGATCTTTGATCTGCTCTGAAATAAATGGAATTCTCGTTAACATTTTTAAACTTCCCTGAAATTGTCGGGACTTCTGTGCAGTTCCTGAAATATATTTGAAGTTTTCATAAATTCCGTGAAGGTATCTGTACTTCCCTGAAATTCTCGAAAAATCTTAACTGTACTCGATTTTTTTCAGCACATTATGAAACTGTCCCGAATTTTTCGAAATTCACACTTATAGATGTTTAAACTGCTCCAAAAGTCTGGAATAAAACTACGGGAACTGCCCTTAAATTTCCCAAAGCTCTCTAGATCTAGCTTTTCTTAGGTACTTAGAACTTCTCAAAAGCTTCTACACTTTTCCTCAAGTTCTATATATTCTGAAGTTCTTCTGACACCGGTGAAGATCTCTGAAATTCTAGGAACTTCTTAAAGGTTCCTGCAGTTTTTCGAAAGCTAATAGAACCGCCCCAAATTTTCTGGGTGTTAATTTCTCTTATATTCCCGCAGTTTGTTTATGAAGCTTGACTAAAATTCTCACCATTTCCTTTCATTCCTCAGAACTTCTATGAAGTTCCTACAATTGTTGTGAAGTTAATGGTACTTCACTGAAGATCTCTAATCTAGGGGGAGAGGTAGCTCATCGATTCTTCCGGTTCGCCTCCTAGCATCGTGCTATAAGGTACCAGGCGATAACCAGGGTAGTTGATCGATAGCTCGATGACGTCATTTCGTTGACGTCTGCAATGGGAAATTCTCATAGGAGGCGTTGACGATGGGACGTTGTCGAGTTGTTGAATAGCAACTATCGTGGTAACTCACCGATTACCTGTCGATCTGCCAAATTTGGAAAGACGTCTGCATTGAATTGTCTCATATAATAATATTCCGCCCACTATATCACAAGAAATTGCGAGTAGCTGAGTGGAATGGAGATAAGTTAAGCATTGGGTACAGGACCAAGTCTCTCCTGGGTGGTGCCAGAAGATGAGCGCAATAGAATCATCAAGTTGCCATAAGGCACGGAATGAGACTATTGCATGGCTGGGTAGTCAAAGTCTTCCATTCGTTAGTCATTTCAGGTGGATTAGAACAGGTTTAGGTTTAGGGTGGGCGTTGGCCAGATTTGGATTTTTCAGATGTAATCCTGGATAGGACCCTGTCATTGAACGTCGCGTGGAAGTGGAACTTAATGAAGGCCTAAGTACTTTTTCGTAGTTTTTAGTTTTCGGATTTGAGAGATCGTCGGTTACAGTGGCCTGCTTACTGAGCAGAAAAACGCGGTCCCAGGTCCTTACATATCAAAGAGATTTATGGTAAAATCGCTTGTGTATCGTGTATTTTGCGAAACTCGTTGTTGTCGTTGGTTGCGGGTTTGAATGGATACACAAATTTGAGCAACGGTATTATGTGATATGAGGGGCTCGGTGGCCTTAGAGCAACCGTTTTCGCTTACTGAGCAGAACATCATGAGTCTAATCTCAGGCCCATCCACATTCAAGATTCGTCAATCGTTTTATTTGTTAATACGACTACATGGTAATAACAGCAACTCGGTGATTAAAAAGGTTCTCGTCTGCCTAGTGGCAAACGTTTTTGCTTACTGAGCAGAAGACCGTGGGTTTAGTCCCAAGCTCCTTCGCGTTATATGCTCGTTAGGACATCAATTCAGCTTATCGTTTACCAAAACGAACCCTGCTGCAAACCCAACCCTCTTATCCAACATCCAGTGATTCCTCGTGGAAGTGCAGAGGTGTTCTCGGCTTCCATCAAAGCGAGTGTCATGTCAACACAATCCTTCCCATTCCTTTCTTGACCTGTGTTCGGGCGCGGCCGGCGCTGGTATTGCCTAATTTAAGATCACCAGTTTTTACACATTGAGGATGATTGCTAGTCCCAAGCATCGTCTATTGGTTCTCTGTGTAATTACAGCTGATCTGGCAATAACAAAGTAGCAACCGTGGGCGGTCAATCAAGCTCAAGCTCAAGCTCAAGCTCAAGCTCACTGAAGATCTCTAATCTTTCAAAAAGTTAACTACAACCTTGAAATAAATCATGTGTTTTCCTTAAATCTGGCACTTTGAAAATCTTCAACTTGAACTTGTACATGGAAACTTCAAGCGTTGAATATTTTGAGATCATAGACTTACTAAAATTAAGTGAGTGTTAAACTTCAACATTTCTCGAGTAACATTTGAAATGGGACTATGTCCAAAACGTAAACAAATCGGGTTTTTATACCATTCTTTAGCACCGCTTGATAGCTACTAATCGTGTAGGAAAGTTCCGCATAATCGAGGAAAATCATTAAAAATAATTCGATTTTCGAAACGCCCGAACAACGAAATTTTTCGATTCATTAATAGGCCCGCACGCTAAAACGGCCAACCATTCATTTATTTAATTTCATTGGTACACCAAGTGACGTATAAGGGCCGATGATTGAAAATTTTCAAACCACAAAACTAGGCCCTGCTGCTTGAGGCAGGGCCGATGATTTGTTTTGAATTTATTTGACGTTGCGAAAATGCTTAGCAAAGGGCGTACCATTTCTGATGACAAGCACAACGGCTTAACAAAGGGCCTATCCATTGAAAGATTCACAAAAAGGCTTATTAATGTATGAAATTAAGTTGTTATCGATTTTGCATATATTTTTGAAAGCTTTACGCATATTTTAGATGTTGTATACTGATATACAGTTACTATTGTTATTGTGAACAATATAAATGTCTAAAATATTTCAATTTTCTTAAATATGATTTGAATAATGGCGGAATGGCATTTTCTGGTTTGTTTACGTTTTGAACATAGGCCCATTTCAAATGTTACTCTAGATTTAATGGATTTGAACTGTTTCTTAAAAACTCATGGTCATGTCTTAAAAACGTTCGCGTTAATAACTGTTGTTGTTGTATTACCAAAATAAGCATATTTTTAACAAATTCAAAAAATTGCTTTCTTTTTATAAACCTTGAAATCATCCGTTAAAGTTCTGTCAAGTAAAAATCGGGAAAACTCAGGTAAATTTACATAGTCAAATGAGTAGACACCCTGTAGATAGAGAAAGACGAGCTACGTCAAAAGCTCTATAGTTACACAACACCTGCGAATTCTGGAGTCCTTTTTGATTGGGTCGTATGTAACAAACGCAAACAAATTGATATTTTAATGATACCAGACATTACTCTTCCTAGAGGCAAAATTTAGATCCACTACCTCATTTCTCTTTCACTGGCTCATCAAAAAACTGTTTGTCGGATGTGCCAACCGATCAAAACATAGCTCAATGTTACATACGTCATCTAACTTCTATGGAGATGTCTTCTTCTTCTTCTTCATTCGTTTATTTAAAGTCGGTCTCTGTTCCGCAATCTAGTGCCAATCACCGACGGACATCGATTGCCATCATTGCCAGGAAGGCAGCTTCCACACCTGCGTAGGATATCGCACCCATTCAACACACATGGGCCGGGACCAACGGGCTTTACTTCCCTTCTGAAGGAAGACGTGACCAGAGATTTTTATGCCTCAGAAAAATCCCACCGACCTCGGCTGGGATTGAACCCAGACCCATTGGTGTGAGAAAGCAGTCACGCTTACCACTACACCACCAGCGCCGGCTATGGAGATGTCAATCGTCGTATGCAATAAATTATACAGAAGCTTAAAAACTGTACATACGACCTGTTGTTTTTTCTAATAAACCTTGCAAATTTTGTAAATCTTCAATGTTAAACGGTTGATAACTACGCTTGCCGTGATATATTACTAATTGTAATACTTGTTTAAACCGCTAAAATTCGTACGGTCGAATGTAACACCACAGCATGCAAATGGTCCTATAATATTGATTGGTTAAAAAACATATATTTTTTACACAGTAACACTATAAATACCTTACTCAGTCGATAGAAGCACTCCTGAGATGTTAGGAAATGATTGATTTGATTTCCTTTATTTAGGAGATTTTCAGCCGATGTTAGTAAATGGGAATTTTGAAGGAATTACTTGTTCACCAAAACAAAACACCTCATTTCTCTAATTGACAAAAATGTTACATACGACCCAATCAAAAAGGACTCCAGAATTGTTCGAAAATTAGAATAAAATGTAGGCATCGATTGGACTATCAGATCCTACACACTGCAAGAAGAATGATCAATCTTGAAATAAATTCCAGCTATGTCACCGGAGATGACAAAAAGTTTTCAGTGAATTACCTATTGTTCTTCCAAGAAATATTTTTTTTTAAGTGGTTCATATTTTTTTCCTAAAGTTGACTGGAAATGTTCTAAAGATAGCTATCAAATTAGCCATTCAGTAAACGTAGCTATGATTTTAGCAGACAATGTCCGTACCTTTAATTGAATCGAACCCTCCTCCCAATGAGTTTTCCACCTAACAATTTAATGACGACAGCTCATCGCAAGTAAAACATCCTTTTTCCATTTGGAGCAAATTGCCTGGGAGTCTGGCAGCTTGGTATTCCCAGGTCGGCACATCAATTCCAATCAAACCCTCGTTCATTTGAAGCCAGAGCAATCACATCCCATCACGATAGCCGTTTTCTATATCGATTCGATAAAACTTCTTTTTTTTTTTTGTCGTCAGAGAGAAGGGGCAATGACCTTCATTAGTGTTGTTAGCATCGAACGAGAGGACGACGGAAAAGGCACTACTTGTTGTTTGGGGACCCAGAAAGTGGCGCAATGGCAATCAGCAATTATTTCCGTGCGACAAGCGAGCCGGGAAAAGTTTGATGAGTTACAGCTGAAACTTTGAGGCATAGAAATAAAGCAATATTTACCATTTGCGGCATTGTGCCTCCCGAGTCCGGCTACCGTTGTCAGGACCAGCAGCCCAATGGCAATCCAGCGGAGCTGTACCGCCGGCCGTCGGGTGATATGTTCCGAACTACTTCTACTCGATTCCATCATGATGAGGCTCTTTCAGTAACAACAACCAAAACCAATAGAACGTCATTCGTGGCGTACAACTACAAGAATAATTATTATTTCGGAAGATTGGTTCCTTCCTGTTCCCTGATTGGTGTCGTCTTTTTTATATTATGGATTCCACCTCAGAAAGAACCACTTTTGCGCATTAATTCACACACAATCACACAAATTGGGAACTGCGGTTGTTTAACCAAACACTGATGCCGCATGATTTATCTTACTTTCCTTCACGAGATGGCAGTTTTTGTTGTTGAATATTCTTCTCCGATCGGATCCGACAATAAATCACTCTTCGTCGGATTTCGATGATGCCATTGGGGCCCAACAAATATTTTTGCCAACCAACCAACACAGCGATCAAAACAAACACAATCACTCACTTTTATTTGCTACAAAGGCTGCTTTTCTGTGTCGGTCTAATGACAAATCGTATTTCGTATATATTTTTCTTCTTCACTAGCAAAGGCGAAAAACCATTGAACTCTTTCCCCCAATCTATATTATTTTTTATTTGCTCGCACGGAACAGGCAAACTTTTGGCATCCAACAAAACACTCGCAATTTTTGACAGTTCCTTCTTTCTGGAAGCCTGTCACTCTGCACAAATTTGTATTTTCCTCCTGCCGAATCCAGTGCAAACCTTCAAACCTTTTTTCTTCTTAAACACCGGAACCGCTCCCGGTTTCCTTCACAACCAGCCAAATGCACCGAGATGCACACCGGACTGCAATTTTCTTCCCTTTTCCGTATTTTTTTGCTAATGCCACCGCGCTGCTCCTCGCAGGAAAAAAAAAAATAAAAACCCTTTTTCACTCTGCCATCCGCCGCGAACCGACTACTGCCAGCAGCCGATGCATATAAAAATTCAACACTTGTCACGATCCGGCCCGATTCCGGCCAATTCTCCAACTTCTCCCGGTCGGCAACGTCACCGTTCGCAGTTTACCGCACAATTCGACCGATCCGGAACAACGCAAATCCCCGATCCGAGCGGATTAATTTTCACCGATGATGGCCATTTTCTTCAACACACATCACACACGAACTTCTTCTGCCTGCCTGCCTGCGCTCTGCAGAGCAATCAAATCGAATCCGCACCGAAGGCGAGCAAAGTGAAGGAAAAGAATTTCGCTGTCATCAGTAGCACAGCCAGCGACAGACAGATGGGGACGAATGCGAAACGCACACAGCGAACCTCTCGAGTTGCACAAGTTCCCAGTCCAAAATGTGGATCCAGCGTTTGGATTGCACACAAACATGAATGGAGTTCTCCAGCTCTTCACATGTATTTTATGAGATTTGCATGGGCTTTGCTGGTAGAAACACAACACTGCGCTAGTGTTCGTGAGAAGCTGCATGGAAAACTTTATGGAAAGCTCTCCGTGGGTACGAAACATTAAAAACAGTGACGCAGTTTGACAGTGTTGGTTTGGTGCGGTGTTTGTGTTGCGTTCGCCGGGCAGTTTTTTTATGCAAAAATGACAGGTGTCCAATGAGAGAGGGCTAGGATAGTGAATAGGCCTTTCTGTTGCAGTGTTGCCATATTGTTCCATATCTATTACCTCAGAGAAATGCCGCGGATACACTTCCTTAATAAAAAAAACCACCATAAGCGAACGATAAGCTAAATGATAGAACTATTTGAGCAAAACAACCCGGGGGCAACTTGACAACTCCAGTATATTGCCAGTGTACCCCGACAATTTGGTGCTGGTGGTTCTGTCAAACTCACAATTTTCAGAAGGGTTATCTGAATAGGGCGAATGCGGAAATGATTTACAATAAATAAAATCCAAGCTTAAAATTCATCTCATTGTCTGACGTCAAAATTAACATTAGTGGCATAGGAAGTCCAGTGATGCCAGCGAAAATGTCGTTTTGCGTTTCAGTCGTATGCGAGGTCGTATGCACAATTCATAATCAGTTTATTAAACTTTTTTTGTAGTCTCGTGTGTCTTTGAGCAGAACAGAACCAAAAGTTTAAACATATGATTTGTAAAACGAAAATATGTGATTGTCATCGAATTAATCGAAACAAATGTGAACTGAGCGAGGATATTGATTTAAAAGCTATTGCTATTATTGTGGATGATGAACAAAAAAAGAATTTGTTTTGCAGCGAGTAAGTGCGTACTTATTACAGTATCCCCCCGCTAATCCTACAAATTTGATAATCTGACTGTCAAGTCCTTACAAATCAATGTTACCAATGTAAAAAAAGCTCCATAAGAGACCATGATGTCGGATTAAGGAAAACCGGAGTGGGGAGATACCAACAACCAATACGAAACTAACGTTTTTAAATTGGCTCACTACTTGACTAGCCTATTGGTCCCAAGCAGGGGGGACGACACTTCAGGATTATCCCATTTTTACCCAAAACACTTCTACAATTTTCAACGTGCACAAAATTTCAATTCATCCTATCTATTCTTTCTATTCCCAACTTATCCCAGGGGGTAAGTCACTCTGCCACCTTGTGACTGTGCTGATTGTGTTTCTTGTGTGTTTTTGGGTGTTTCAGGGTGTTTCTGTGTCGAATGAGCTGTCAAAACGTCAAGCGGCATCATACAATGTTTACTGGCAACCATGACTTCCACATCGCTGAAAATGACAGATCCCCCTGCGATCGTCGTTGTTTATTGGCGTTGACGGTGACTCTGTATACAGGTATAGCTCTTTGCTCTTATGGTAAAATCCTGTAAAATCCAATAAGCAAACGACAGTCTGTGCGTGATACATGGCGGAATTGATGCACATCTTCGCATCGGACCAGATCGTGGCCAAGTCCCGTTTCTGGTACTTCCTGCGGCAGCTGCGTAAGTTCAAGAAAGCCACCGGTGAGATTGTCTAGGTCAAGCGTATCCTGGAGAAAACTCCGCTGCGCGTGAAGAACTTCGGCATCTGGCTGCGCTACGATTCCCGTCCCGTACCCACAATATGTACCGCGAGTATCGTGATCTGACCGTTGGCGGTGCTGTCACGCAGTGCTATAGCGATATGGCTTCGCGCCACCGTGCCCGTGCCCACTCCATTCAGGTGAGTTGCTTTTTGGTAGTATTGACTCGGAAAGAATCACTGATGCGAATGTTTTCCCAACAGATCATCAAGGTCGAATCATTTGAGGCCTCCAAGACCCGTCGTGCTCACATCAAGCAGTTCTACGACTCGAAGATCCGCTTCCCGCTGGTGCAAAGATACCACCACAAGCGCTACAGGAAGCTGTTCTCTTTCCGCCGACCGGATACTTACTATCAGTAAACCAGGAGCCGCCGTTCATGTTCTGTTAATTCCACTCTTTTTTAGGGAGTAAAATGATGAAGATCCGTAAGAAACCATGTGAAAATTCTTCGTGATTCGTTGAGAAAGAAAATCCGTGAGTGGAATAAAAAGTGGATCCTGATGGTTGGAGTAAGTTCGTTCAATGTTTCCCTTGAGAACAACTATTTTGTGAAGATGGATGAGTTTGAATTAGCGATTTCATGCCGCATTAAATTTAGCAATGACGGACATTCGTAATTGAGTAATGCGCTGTGAACATTTCAAAAGGGCCGAATTGCTTTTGTAAACAATGGCTTTAGACGTTGATTACTCGCGAATGAAAGATCACAGTTTTTGGAGGCGAACCAGCCCAAGGCTGAAAGCCTCCTTAATAAAGCTAAATAATAATAATAATAAGATCACAGCTGGTAAACTTCGCCCCTTACTAAGTGTATAAGACTGGTAGGTCTCTCGAAACGGATTTCCCATACAACGGAATAGCGGGTGATCGACAAATTTGATTGTAATTTATCATCATGAAATCTTCATCTTCGTCAGGTTCGGTAGCATTTGTTGACTCAAGCTTGAGGTTGGCAACCAACGGAGACGGTATTGTTGATTAACATTGAGTCTCGGTGAAATGAGTCGTTTCACCATTTTGCTGATGGTCGTTCTCGATCCCGATCGTGTTCTCTATATCGCCCATTTCAATTAGAGGAAGCTTCCTCGGAGGAGGTGAAGCTTCTAGGCAAGCGACATCTGACGAAAGGCGTTTGATGACTTCTGATGCCAGTGAATCATGCAGCTTAGCAACATGCCACGTGAAACTAAAGATGTTCCAGTTCTCAGAGGCATCGGCGATGGCTGTTAGCTTTCTGTGTAAATAATTTAAGATACATTTACAGGAAAAATACGAAGTTGCCCGATGACAACCGTTCCGCTGAAATGTCCAGTAGGTGTCGTGAAAAGGGGCATATGGCTGTTGGAGAATTTTTATGCTATCCAATCTACCGGTGCGGTCAATTTATGTAATTCCCAAATAGACAAGCAAGACATCGACAATTATGTCACGCACGTTATGGCTCCAGATAGCAATGGGTATTTAGCGCAGGAAACCATAAGCCTTGTCTGGAGCAGAAAAAAAACAGTTTCAGGCTTTTTCAGTGGAGTGAAAAGGTAAGGAAAAATCCATCGTGTTTTACGAATATCAGTTGCTGTTAGCCAATAAGAGTAAAGAGTAACACATTCGTCGTAGATGCAAAGCTACTATTTATAAACATAACAATCGAATACTTGATCGAATGTAAACAGTCATGGAAGTGGTGCCAGTATTAATAGAAAATTCTGGTGGAAGTGTGTTTGGAGTGTGTCGAACTGTGTTTTTGGAGTGTTAAACACAAGGTGGCAGAGTGAGTTACCCCTTGGTCAGAAACTTGTGTAAAATAAGTGGGAACGTCGCCGTTACGTGGTGTTAGCATCTCCTGATTTTCTATATAAATTTTCCACTTTCGACCAGTTTGGCGCTAGTATCGATAAATTATCTGTTGAAAATTGCCACTTGGCGCTACTAGCGCTTAGTGTCTAGTGTAATTTGTGCAACGCCAGCGCCATCATGTTATCAAAGAGGGTTTTTAAGTGGGGAAGTCGCCGTTAGTGGTGCTTAAGTCAAATAGGAATCTTTACACAAGTTTTTAGAGAAATTTTGTTCGAGCCTCCATGTCTGTTCTCTGTGCTCCAAGTCACTTTTGTGAGTTCAAATTCAGGGTAGGATTTTTAAGTTAATCTGTGGAGAATTGCAAATCGGTTGTGAAGATCACAGTATCGTGACCTGACCGAGGTTTCCAGCCTCGGTAATGGCTACATGAATCCGGAATGCTGCTATTCCTGCAACTGCTGCCGCTTCTGCTGGCTTTCACAAATTTCGTTTGCGTGTTTAGAATTAAAGGTTTTTGCAGTTTCGTCGTAGAATCGATGCATTCTATTAGTAGAGGGCTTTTGTAGTCCAGCTGTCACCATCCAAACATTATTTTTCACTGAGCATTGACTAAAATGGCTACTTCAATGTTTTTCTTTCGTACTGTTTCATTTCAGGTGCACGCATCCCGATGACAATTTAAAGCACCTTTGCATCCAATGCAATCCCATTATAAATCCCATAATATTTTTTCTATCCTTACTCAATTTTCATCAAGACGACAAACTCAAAAAACTCTCTTCAATTACATTATTTTTACAGGTAAGCACCTGCTTTAAGTAATGAAATATGAAGAATAAATATATTCTGAAAAAATCATACAAATGCAAGAAACGTCATACAATATAGTATAGTATTAAATACATAATTGAATGTGATTACATAATATTACGACATACGGATTAGAAAAATGTGCCGAAATCTTTAGCCGAAGTCTGTCAAGCTCATCGGTAGCGGACTCGTGTCTGAACTGTCCATGTGAACTTTTCCCGATTTTCATCACCGGACGGATAAACGTCTTGACCCCATGAGTTTGGATGATGTTCGCTAAGTCCATTAGACATAAAATCTCCCCCTCGAGGAATTTAAATTGATGCGGTCGGCCTGCAAACCGCCCATACACGCTTTCAAGCGAGGGACCACCAGCATGCGCTTTTGCGATTACATCCTCTGCCATCTCTCGCAGATCTTGTTCGACAAGCATTATCTCTTTCCTGGTCAATCTACCAAGCGACTGATTGCATAGGTTAGACATGCTCAATATAGTTTTTATATGAGTATGAATGCTTCCATACATTCCTTCCAGTTTTTGCCAGAAGTAATCCTGCAATAAAATTCGGTGTTAACTAAACAATTAAAAATGCAGGTAAAAATGCTAAATAAAAACTTACCTCATCCATGATGAACTGCAATAATATCGCGAAAATAAATTTACAAATTTTAAAAACAACCCAGGAAATAACCGCATATACAGATTAAAATATACGGTAAGTAGGGTAATTAGCTATATAAAAACCTGCAGCAAAACAATCGCTGATATATATCCTGGATATCCTGGGTCACATAAATAAACCAAGCGTTCTGAATAATTTGGCAGGTTAGTTTGGTTTGTTTACTCATTTGAGAGGTTCAGATCAATAAAAAGCAGATCATACTGTCAAAAATGAATGTTAAAATCAGATCATGGATTGGTCTATTATAAACAACATATGATGTAAACATTCTTGGAAGTGGTGCCAGGATTGATGAAAAACTATCTGTTATGTGGAGACTGCCTGGTGGCAAGGTGTTTGGAGTGTGTCGGAGTGTGTTTTTGTGGGTGTTAACACAAGGTGGCAGAGTGACTTACCCCCTGGTGCTCACGCAATCTAGCACGAAGCACCGAAGAGAATCCAGATGTTCTTTTTCCTATCATTTTAGTAAACACTGATCGAATTCCACTCCGTTATTCGGACTTAGTATAATTTTAACTAAAAATTTAATCGAACCAATGTCTAAATTTTGAAAAACCGTAAAATGCATTAAATTTAATCTATACGTTTTGTAATATTTTGGAGTGCACCCCTATCCACCTAGTGAAGACACCAACCAGAGAAAAAAAACCTTTAGCGATCCCTGCGGAAAACCACCATCCGCCGACGGACATCCCGCACAACTGTCACTTATTGAAAAAAACATGCACGAAAACAATGAGTCATTTTCGCCGTATATCTGTCAAAACTCCTCCTTTGTCGAAGCGAGAAGCAACCGAAGCGAGAAAACATCGGTCCTCCATTCATCACGAGAACGAGGCAGCTCGCGTGTGCGTAGGCTCCCGTTAGTTCTTTTACGGAATCAAAGAAAAAATCAGGAAAATCTGCATATTTTCCTCAAGTGAAAACTTCCGGAAAAAAAACGAGTCGGCAATTAAGTTTTCTGGTGAAGTGTTCCGAAAGTAAAACCGAAAAGCATCCAAGATGATGTCCTTACCGGGAAGTATCGCCTTCGACGAGTACGGGCGTCCGTTCATCATCCTGCGGGATCAGGAGAACCAGAAGCGCCTCACCGGCAATGAAGCCATCAAGGTAGGTTCCGCCGGGTGGTGCTGTGGAATCGAAAGTTTTTGGAATTTGATTCGACTTCGTCACATGGTTTGAAAATCAATTGAATTTTGATTTGTGTAGGATGAACCTTTGGGACGGGCCGGAATCTTCTAGATTGTTAAGTGAAAAATGCTCGATTTATTTTATGAGAACTTGGTTGAAATCATAGTTTTTGACATCAATTTGATGTTTCATTGGGTATTTTGTGCAAATTAGATGATTTTTCAGTTTAAAATCGATTTTCTCAAAACAGCCGGATGAATCAACTTGAACCTAACCTCACTTTGTGTGTCGCTTTTCTAGAGTCACATCCAGGCAGCGAAACAGATTGCTCATACCATCAGAACCTCGCTGGGACCGAAAGGATTGGACAAGATGATGGTCAGCGGGGACGGTGAAGTGACGGTGACCAACGACGGAGCCACGATCCTCAAGTTGATGGATGTGGATCACGAAATCGGTAAACTGATGGTCCAGTTGAGTCAGTCGCAGGATGATGAGATCGGTGACGGAACGACCGGCGTTGTGGTGCTGGCGGGAGCTTTGCTTGAGCAAGCAGAGTCTCTTTTGGACCGTGGCATTCATCCGATCCGTATTGCCGATGGTTTCGAATTGGCTGCCCAGTGCGCTATCAAGCACTTGGATTCGGTTGCCGAGCCGTTCCCGATTTCCCGGGACAATAAGGAACCGTTGATTGAGGTGGCAATGACTACGTTGGGAAGTAAGATTGTCAACAAGTGCCACCGGCAGATGGCAGAGATTGCCGTCGATGCCGTACTGATCGTGGCCGATCTGGAGAAGAAAGACGTCAACTTTGAACTGATCAAACTGGAGTGCAAGGTCGGAGGACGTATGGAGGACACTTGCCTGGTTAAGGGTGTTGTCATAGACAAGACCATGTCCCACTCGCAGATGCCGAAGGTTTTGAAGGACGTCAAGCTGGCCGTCCTCACCTGCCCGTTCGAACCGCCAAAGCCCAAGACCAAGCATAAGTTGGACGTCACCTCGGCCGAGGATTACCGCAAGCTGCGCGAGTACGAGAAGGAGAAGTTCTTGACCATGGTCAAACAGGTCAAGGATGCTGGTGCAACGCTGGCCATTTGCCAGTGGGGCTTCGACGATGAAGCAAACCATTTACTGCTGCAGCAGGAACTGCCAGCGGTTCGTTGGGTTGGTGGCCCGGAAATTGAACTAATTGCGATTGCTACCGGTGGTCGGATCGTGCCGCGATTCGAGGAACTGACCTCGGACAAGCTGGGTTACGCTGGACTGGTGAGGGAAATGAGTAAGTATTCTGCTAGTGGCCGAAGGTTTCTTTAGAATTCAACATCAATTTCCTACTTTTAGGTTTCGGAACCACCAAGGATAAGATGTTGGTGATTGAGGACTGCAAAAATACTCGTGCCGTCACCATTCTGATCCGTGGTGGAAACCAAATGATCACAGCCGAGGCAAAGCGTTCCATCCACGATGCCCTGTGCGTGGTCCGTTCGCTCATCCAGGATTCCCGCATCGTCTATGGAGGCGGCGCGGCTGAAATCAGCTGCTCATTGGCCGTTGCTCGTGAAGCCGATCAGCTTTCCACCCTGGAACAGTACGCTTTCCGTTCGTTCAGTGTTGCCCTGGAGTCGGTCCCGCTGGCCCTGGCCGAGAACAGTGGTCTGCTGCCCATCGAAACCCTATCCGAGCTGAAATCTCGTCAGGTGGCGGAAAATACCTCCACGCTCGGAGTCGACTGCATGCTGTCCGGAAACTCGGACATGAAGGAACACCATGTGATCGAGTCGTTGCATTCGAAGAAACAGCAGATCATCCTCGCTACGCAACTGGTGAAAATGATCCTGAAAATCGACGACGTCCGATCGCCAGCCGATAAGTAATTGCATTGCTAATAATATTCCTCTTATTTAGTTTCACGTTTCCATCGTTTAATTTGACATCCTAAGCTTAGTATATTAAACAACCGTAGGCAAGTGTGTCAAACAAACATTATACATTTAATCTTCTCCTTTCATGCACCCGTGAAAATACCCGTCTGAAAAAGGATTGCTATGTAAGAACCGGTCTTCTTTGTGCTTTAACTTAACGCTAATGTCTTTTACAGCGGTTGAAATTCCAACAACTGCTGGAAGAATTGATCAACACATAATTTCCTTAACTACGCGGCTGTTAAGTTCTGAAACTGTCGGTACTCAACTTGTTCACTTGATAACACTTACTCACGCAAACACAAATGAACACACATACATTAAACACAACAATAACAAAACAACCAATAAATACGTGATTATGCTTTTGAACGTATGAATTTGGAGGAGGTTTTTATTCTGTGAAAGAAATCTCCTTCAAACTGTTGATCACACAGTCCTTTCCATGCTCACCAGTTGCAAGGACGCTACCAGGTCAGTATTATTGCAGGTTGTACGTATCACATCCGTTTAAGCGGCGGTGACTAATCCTAAATTGCTGCCCAAGTGATGAAGGATGAGCGACTACATCACTGGTACTATAATTTAGGCCACCTACGAATCCGAAGAAGTCGTCTCCAGTCTGCGAAGGGTCCGCAGGTCGCATTCTACTTGGTCGATCCACTTTGCTCGCTGTGCGCCTCTTCTTTATGTTCCTGTTGGGACGCTTTCGAGAATCATTTTCACTGGGTCGTCGTCCGGCATTCTTACGACGTACCCAGCCCACCGTAGTCGCCCAATTTTTGCAGTGTGGACGATGGATGGTTCTCCCAGCGGCTGGTGCAATTCGTGGTTGCCTCCTCCACGTTCCGTCATCCATCTGCACTCCGACCGTAGTGTAACTAGTGTAACTCTACTGTATGTTCCCGGTAAGTTCTCAATAGCATGAGACCTCTCGAGCTGGGTCTCAAGGTCGGCTTACTACTGGGCAATCGCTACGCGACCAAACGTGCAGAAAACGGTCACCTGATTAACGTTATGAAAAAAATGCAACTGTGGTTCAAGATGGAAACATTTTATTGAGGACAACTATTGTTTGAGAGGGTTGGTTTATATTACTACTATTGTGGGTGTCGGTGTAAAGTGGGGGGTTTATTCTTGAAAAACGTACCGGTACTGCTGATGATGATGACTGATGCTGAAGAGTTTCAGCGAGCGCTCGCTGGACTCACTGTGCTACGAATTCTGCCAGATTCGCTGTCGCGATCGTGGTCAAAGTTGGCTGAGGAAGCGGTATCGTCGGCGCGTGAAACTACTATAGGTCCTCCCAGGCGTCTTCCCTCATAGACTTACATCGGCAGAACCCAGGCAAGGCCAGAGTGACTCTACCGAGAGGGGAACGGCTCCTTGGCGGTTAGGGATGGTTCCCGAGACAAATTCCTTCCAGCCGATTATTTTTGGTCTGGCTTGAGGAAGGCTAGTTCCTTTGCTTTTAGACCTAGCGGCCCCTAGAGACTACTACTATCTTGTCAATGGACAAAATGGCGGTGTATACCAAACGATAATACAAAAGGTCCTGTGAGTGTAACGAATGGACGTTAGTTCAGTCGTTAGCTATAGTTTGGCTATTTCAAGCACTTTAACTGTTCAACACCTTTCACTCGTGAACGCCTGGATAGTTATGAGGAATGGCGGGTCGTTCGTGGGCTATCTGACCTCTGTCCCTTCGCTTTTCCATCCCTCCATCCTATATCCCAATCCAAAAAATCCTTTCTCGCCTGCATCTCCTTGTAGTAGTTGCACCCCCTGTACTGTAACCTATCCCCACTTTACTGTTATACAATTTAAATTTTAAACAATTCCCTACTAACAAATTTACAATATTTTAATATATAATCTTTTAATAATCCTACTAACCAACACCAAATAACTTATAAAAACGTGACAGTACATTAAACAGTTAATTCCCAAACGCAATGTGGACGGAAGCGGAACGGAAACGGGAAGTTTGACAGTTGTCACAAATGACATCAAGAAGCCTAACCGATGTCGATTTGGGTCTAACTAGTTTTCAATCCGACAAGTAGGCTTACTCAGATCGGGCTTTTCCGATGCCGCTGCCGTTCCGCTTCCGCTGTCATTGCGCTTGGGCGAAGACAACAAATCAAGAAGACTGGCAACTCTTCCATTTTCTCATACAAACGCTATGAGACAGGTACAATCGCGTCATCTGCCGCTCGAAGGGAAATGCTTCGAACGAATTTGATAGCAAAGATTACATCCTCAGAAGAAGGGTTTGTGTATTTGCTCGCACCTGCAACGCGTGCGGTAAGCGGGGCCACTTCGCTGTAATGTGCCGACGCAAGCGAGTTAACAGCACTTCTGGAGACTATCCCGAGGATCGTCGTCTCCCTACAAAAACTCGTGAGCCAAGCGTCGAAGATGACAAGGATGATCTCAAAACATTTTTTTTCTATCTTACACTTTTATACTGCTTTTGTTACCCATAACTGCGGAGAACACCTGTTTTATTTGAATTTTGAAGTTTAGTGTTTTATTTCCTTTCCATGCTTGAAAACCAAAAAAATATAGAAAGCAAGTGTTTCTATCCCATTTTCTCGTTTGTTTTCATCTACAGTCTGTATTTTTCAATTTGGTACGGTTATTATTTCAGTGCCAACATTTCAAAGGGGCGTAATTGCTTTTGTAAACAATGGCTTTAGACGTCGATTTCTCGCAAATGAAAACCCACCCCTATAAATTACAAATGCTAGCTGATACAGGAAACATTTCTCTGCGTGCTGGTGTCATTTATTTTCATAAGTGAGCTTTCATCGACGACTAAAGCCATTGTTTACAAATGCAATTACGCCCCTTTGAAATGTTGGTACTGATTTTATGGAGAAGAGGGAAGATGTGGGACATGCATATTCTCTGACATTTAGTGACTCCAAGCATATGTTACGCAACAGCGTTACGCAATCACTATACTCGTAGCACAAACGAAGTGACAGACGGAGCGGCTCGAAAACTTTGGTGACTAACCTGCTATTGCAATTTTTCAGTGTACCACATGGCAACACCACTACTACTGGATTGTACCACATGGCAACACTACTACTGGATTGAACTAGCATGTTTTGGTTCTATCTCTTTCACTCTACTCAAAACTGAAATGCATAAAAAAATGACAAAATGATACGCACTCTTTTTTTTTTTTTTTTTTAATGTGTTTATTTTTCCAGGCTTATTTGCCGTAGCTTTGCGGAGCCGATATTCATTGTTTAGGTTACAAAATTTCTTAAGACTAACGTTAGTAAAGCGGGGGCCGATTACTCGCGGCTATCTCGAGGTTAGGGGTAACAAATTGTAACAAATGGATGGCAGGGTAGGGATTGAGAACACAAGGTTTGGAGAGCAATGTGCTCTTGATCTCGAACTAAGCGACCAACTGATGAAAAAGACAAACATGGGGGTACACCGATGGGCAGCTAACAACTTGGGGGAACACAAGATGACACTAACTACTAAATCTTCAGATCTATCCGTTTTAAAAACACATATATTAAATTGCAATAGTCGAGATCTCGGCTCGCCAAGATGTCTCTAACGGGCCGCATGGGTTGTTTTCCTCGGGCCCTGAGGGATGCGGATAATTCGGATCTAGCAACACAATGGAGGGTACATGACCAAAGTACGTGGTCGATATCGTGATAGCCACTACCACAAGCGCACAAATTGCTGCCTGCGAGCTCGATTCGGAAGAAATGCGAGTCTAACGAGTAGTGATTGGACATGAGCCTTGATATGACCCGTATAAAGTCACGGCTCATGTCCAATCCTTTGAACCATGGCTTGTTCGACACCTGTGGGAGAATAGAATGTAACCATCTTCCCAGGTCACTCTCATTCCATTTTTGTTGCCAGTTGGTGAGGACGTGCTGACGGGTAATTGAGAAAAATTCCGCAAAGGCGATTTGTCGATCAAAAATATCGCCTTCCATAGCGCCCACCTTAGCTAGCGAGTCCGCTTTCTCATTGCCCGGAATTGAGCAATGAGATGGGACCCAAACTAAGGTGATAGTATAGGAGCAGTTAGATAAAGTACTCAATTTAGCTCGGATTTCGGTCAGGAAATACGAGGAGTGCTTCATCGGCCTCATTGATCGAATAGCCTCCAACGAGCTAAGGCTATCAGTAAAAATAAAATAGTGATCAGATGGTAGTGAGGCAATTTGCTCTACTGCGTAAAATATGGCTGCTAGTTCCGCAACGTATACGGAACAGGGTTTTTGCAGTTGATATGAGGCGCTATGAAATTCGTTGAATACTCCAAATCCAGTGGAAGCGTTTATAGTTGACCCATCTGTGAAAAAACTCTTATTGTTACTAACATGGTGGTACTTGTTTGCAAAAATTAAGGGAACAACCATCGACCGATGGTGATCTGGTATTCCACGGATTTCTTGCAACATGGTCAGATCAAAATTTACAGAGGAACTATAAAAGTCTTGGAGGCAAACACGAGAGGAATTGAATGAAGAAGGGCCAATCTCCAGCGTCATGTACTCGTAATAGAGACTCATGAATCTTGTTTGAGGATTTCTGTCGAGCAGCTTCTCAAAATTTTCTATTACCAATGGGTTCATTACTTCACAACGGATAAGAAACCGGAAGGACAGTTCCGCGAAACGATCTGTCAGTGGGAGAACACCCGCAAGTACTTCGAGGCTCATCGTATGCGTCGAGTGCATACAGCCAAGCGCGATTCGGAGGCAACGGTATTGAACCCGTTGCAGCTTCAGGATATGTGTTTTCGCCGCGGATTGAAAACAGAAGCTACCGTACTCTAGAACCGACAAGATGGTTGTTCGATACAACCTGATCAGATCTTCCGGGTGTGCTCCCCACCAAGTTCCAGTAATTGTACGAAGAAAATTGATTCTTTGTTGGCATTTTTGTTTCACATACGCAATATGTTTTTTTTTGGTGGGCGTTGGCCAGATTTGGATTTTTCGGATATAATCCTAAATAGGACCTAGATTATTTAATACTCTAGTATCCTCAAGTCCGTGCTCTGTCACAATGTTTCATTGTGATTAATCAACACTCAAAGGGGTAAAATCTCAAATTTGGGGTGAATTTGAAAGAAAGGTAACTTGGAGTGTAGAGCGCACTGCCCACTGGACGATTCTGAAGCCTGGCCAAGTGAGTGGGGTATGGGTTTATTTGATTGAACGTCATTTCCAATGTATATATTGATACATTCAAACCATTGGCATTTGAGATAAGACAGAGATAGGATGCGGAGGGCCCGCTTAGGGGAAGCGTAACCCATGTTA